CCAGGGGACATCTCTGTGAATGCAAAGTACTTGTTGTCCACAGTAAATGTCAGCATCCCTAATGGCAATCTGGGTAACTGTTTAAGCAGGTCACAACTAGGGACTGTGGGTACTTTTGTGTGTGTATGATAAGAGGTGCAATTGATTTGTGTGTGTGTTTTCTAACCCCTAGCCTAATAGACTACATTCCAGAACATAATGGAATAAAACAATCTAAGTTATCTGCAGCATCTATTAATGTGGAACCAAAAAAAATTGAAGGATGTTCACGAGCAAAAACATATCTCTTTCCATAATAGCTAATATAAAATAAAAAGTTCATGTACAAATCACCTGTATCTCATCTCCAGAAAACAAGTTAAAAGTTTAATCACTTTGAGGCCAAGTGGTGCTTGGTAATATTAAGTACTCAGCTTAAAATTTTTTAATTTTATGTTTTGTTTTGTTTTTGGTGTCTATGTTAAGTACTAATAGTTGACTTGTTACTGACCCCAAAATTAGACTAGCTTTATTCTCCCACACAACATCCAGAAAACTCCTTTTTTTCTAAACCTTCCAAGTACACCTGAACTGACGACTAAATATGTCTCACAAATATCACATGGGAAGTGGTTCTCTAGGGATATTTTTCATACATGAATTTGAATATTAAGTTTAATACATCTGCCCTAACAAATCCTTCAAGGTCCAACTCCTACAGAGAACTTAACTCACCCCAACACAGGCCTAGACATGGGCCATGTCCTGTGCGGGTAGTGACTGTGTTAAATACTGAAAGAAAGAGTCCAATGAACAATGTGCTATTCTAATTCTCATTGCTAGTACTTCCTCCCCCTGCCAGACTAGGACTCTGGGGCTCTGACTTGACTGTTGTAAACTAAGCATGATGTGCTTGGTTTCAGAGTCGGCTCCCATTGCCATGGGGTCCTGCTACTGGGCATCAGCAAGTTCCATGGAACTTGAAGAAATTTTTTCCAGATCAACTACTGATCAAGTTCTTTTGGAACTGCTTTCATTTGAAACATCATTTTTTTGACTCAGCATTTGTCTTATTTTAGACATAGTCCCACAAACATCTTTAGAGAAGGCAAAATTTAAGTGGGAATTATAAGAGAACAGTTTTTTTAAACTTGGCTTCAATTATTAGGGTCAAGTATACAGTCTTTCTAAAGTTCTGGGGGAAGTCTTCAGATATGATCCACTGCTTTGTTCTCTGGAGGCACTAACAGGTACCAGATACCATGCATATCTTTAAAAAGGGGTATTCTCATCTAACACCTGTTTAATAGTCAGTGAATCTCTGTTAACTAGGTTATGATTCACTGTAAACAAACTATAAAATAAAAATCAGTTTAATTTTATTGCATAGTAAAGTCAAGAGCATAGTAGCAAGGGTAATATTAATAATATAGTAAAGATAGTATTTTGATAGTAAAGTATACAATTTTACTAGGCCATAAATACTATAGTATGGTAGATATTTATATTATAGTAAAGTTCATAATGAAGGAAAAATAAACTTACTTCCGCTTTTATCTAAACTTTACATTCTGTTGCAATACCATCTTAAGAATATATATTTAAAACAACCTTTAAACATTTCTCAGCCAGAGAAAGGTTTTCACAAATGTTTTGAATTGCCATGGGTATGGAAGAAAGGATGGGAAGGGGCCATGCCATTGGCAGTGGTATAAATTACACTGTGCATGTGGAAAGAAGGTTCGGGAGAAATATCAAGGTATGGAGAAAGTTGAGAGATAATAATATAAAAGAAGAGATTCTACTCTTATTTGTCTCACAAGACCTGAAAGTTTTCTTTAGAAGGTAACTTAAATAACAATGACAGTAAGATCTAAGTTCTTTCACTCATTGATATTTATAGTTTATAGGTACTTATATTTATATTTATCTTCATTTTTTCTATTAGAATCTACAGATGCTAAGTTTAATAACATCAATATACCTGGCATCATTTTATCATCTAAACATTAGAGAATGTATGTCCAAGTTCAATACAACAATGATTTCTGATCATAGTTCTTGACCTTCTGAAACTGAGAACCCTGATAGCTTAATCATTTTAACATTTCATCATATATTTCCAGCAAACACTAGCCTAAAATGAAGTCTTTTTGAACAACAAAGAACTCTGTATATCATTATCTGTCATAAAGATGGTGCTAGTTATCATGTTATAATATTCTTAACCCAGTCACAGATATACACTCTGTGATGATCCTGACTGCATTTGTTTTAAAGTCTACATTATAACCCAAGTCCTGATATTCTATCCTGATTATACACTATAGTTTTCCTCTTTTCTGAAGGATTTTGACCAAACAGCAAGGTCTAGAAATTTAAAACACTGTGGACCAACAGAGGATTGCTAGTCATTTGTCTGTGTTCTCTGGTTAAGCTTACATAGAAGGAAAGATTACAGTTTTCCTTTCTTAAAGTCTCATGTTGCCTAATAAATCAAAATAGCAGAGTTTGTGAGAGAACCATAATTAACGACAATGAAACACACAAGTCTCAGTCTCTGCGTAGCTGTTAACCTAAAGACCTGATTAAAGAAGATAGATCTTATCAGAAAACAGTCTGTACTGAACAGATCAGGCAGAGAGGTTTCAAAGGCACTCTTGAAGCTGGTATGTATGCCCTCTGGATCTTGCTCTGATGAATGCAATTATTTTGAATTTGCTTCTGCAAACTAAGTCATTTATTCAAAAGATGCTTATTAGTCCATCTCTGTATTAGTTTGCCTTTTTTTATACCAGAGGTATCATGGTCAAATAAGACTAAGAATTTAGACTTCTTGCTTAGCTGGGCTGGGGTTGGGGGAGTGAGGAGGTTGGGGTTAGGTGAATGCGGGTTAGCCTTCAGTGTCCTTCCAAGGTTCTCAAAGACAGGACAAAATGACTGGTTTTGGCCTGCAGGGGCCAACTTGCTCAGGAAACTGTGGCATGCACACAACAAAGCACATAGCAAACTCTCCTACCAGGAAGCCCAGTGTAACAACTGTCTCATTAACAAGATCCAGGGAAGGACAGGAAAAGAGGGGGAAGCCAATAGCTGATGATTATACAGTTCGAGACAGATGAAGCCCTTCAGCTTCTCCCCAAACAATCCCTGTAGTGTGGATTTAACAAAGTGGCACATTTAAGAGAGAACGCTTGCCATCAATGCGAGTCAGACTCACTCCTATTTGAGGGCCAAATTCAGTCCCTGGAACTTGACTTTATCAGTAGACACAAGACAGAGAACAAGGCAGCTACATCCACAGAGAATTAATTAAGAGCCAAAAAGACATCCAGTGAATGTAATCAATAGTCTGAACACTGATCTACATATCAACCATCAATGCTTTCTCCCCTTCTATTTCTTTGAAATTATTTGCACTAAGATGTTCTTGTAACTACTACTTAAAGAGAGACTGATTTGCTACTTGGCCTCATTGAATTTACATAATTTCAAATTGCATTATATAAAACACACCTTCAAAGACCAAACATTCTGTTGTCAGTTTAAGTTTCTGAATGGTTGAAATCTTTTGGGGTAGAATTTTGTCATCAATAATTTGTTAGTTTGCTGTGTCCCTGCACATTGCTCCAGTTCCACATGGGAGGGATGGTCACATAAACCTGACCTTAGAATTGCTGAAGTCCATACCCAAATTTGTCTTCATTGGCTCATTTTGTTCTATCTCCTTTGAAAATGGTCTCTTATGAACATGCCATAAAGCCCCTCACTAGTTATTATAGTATAGATTGCAAACACTGAACACTGGTTTAGTACAATCTTTCCAGCAACTGCATTTGTTTCTTATATCTGTCTCAAACCCTCTTCCGCCCAACACACACATCCAAAACACACGGCAAGTCTGTTTTTGAAACCAGTGAAAACAATAATATAATTTTCATATTGCTTTCATTTCTGCTGGGCAATAGTACAGGTCTCATTACCTTCATTTTTCAAAGGCTTACCAGAGACATCATTTTGTAAGACCAGGTTCTTGGTTAAGTCCTTTAGAAAAGATTCTGATTTCTTCTTGAATCTGTATCTGTGCTTTGCATGAATCTCTCCTAAGCAGCACTAAGACCAGAGTAATTTGTCAGTCATCACTTTTGACTCAGGCTTTGCTCCAGCACCAGCAATTCAACAGCAACCTTTATTGCTTAAGGAAAATAGGAAATTCTGCCTCCTGGACATAAACATGTGAATTTTCTATGTCCAGGACCAAAAGGGTAAAAAGGGCAGATTTTACCAATATTTCCTTAAGAATGAAAGTCTCACTTTTGTTCATGAATCACATTTTAAGGATTTATGTGTGAACAATTTTGGACTGCCATGGGTCTCATTTTACAGATCTTACTTACACCACACTCTCTTTGCAATAGGCGAGAGTGTGACTTGAGTAAGCACCATAGAATCAGAGCCCAGTTTTCCTCTGATCATGACTGCATTCATAAATAGATGATTATAAAGTTAGCACCAATAGAACCTCAGCATAATCTAAAATATAATGATGTCATAATACATAAAACATTGAAATGGAAAAAAAGTGGTTTGCTAGAAAGAGGTTGATGTCTTCTCACTCAAAAACTAGTAGGCAGGCATAATAAAAGAAAATAATGTAGAATTAAATTAGAAATAAAATGTAGAATTATTACTGATGCAATGAGAGTGTAGATTTTAGTGACCAAAAAAAGATGAGATATAGAAGAAGCATTTGCTACCCATATTCCAGGCCCACTGGAAGCAGCTAGTGTTCAACCAGTTTGGTTTTTATATGGCCTTGAAAAATATACATCAACAATGATCACTCTAAAAAACAAAATTACCTGATTGTTGACCAAAAGTATGAAATGGAAAAAAAGAAAGCAAAGCAAACAAACAAACGTACCATGTTCACAAACAAAACAAAACAATTCTCTCAGGGACATCAGGGAAGGTGGAATACTATAACAACACATGTTATATTGTTATACTATTCCACCCACCTTAATGAGGAACCCTTGGGCGTCGCTACTCCATAGCCTTTTGAATCCAGATTTCCTCCCACTTTCATCGTGTCACACGGCTTTCGCTGCTCAATGTACTCATTCATAGTGGATTCCAGGAGGAAGGCGAATTTGCCCTTGGATTTGCGGACACGGGCTACGCCCTCAGCGGTAGTCCTGGTGAACACCGACGGCTCTGCCGACCGCATGTAGGTCCACATCTTTTCATATACAGCTATTTTTGATCTCTGGAGAAAACAAAAATAAAATTAAATACAGGAAAGAAGGGAATGACATGTTAATATTGACAGGACCAAGATAAAGATAAAACCATTTAATACCGTTTTATTTGCCCTCTAACTCCAATTTGCCTTACGAACATTATTTTACAATGAGATAACGGCCTTTTACAACTATTTAAGGAAATCACCGAAATGACAAAGATATTTAAAGAGGCTGTGCCTACTCAAGTAACTGAAGAACATCTTATTTTTAAATGTAGATGGCCATAGAGAGAGTTGAACATTTACAATCGTGTTTTGTATCACATTCACGGTAAACTTCAAAAGGATCAGGTTAAGATTTAATTTTAGCTTTGTGAAATACCTTTTGATACTGTACTTGAATTATAAGAAATAAGGAGATTTGTTATGTTGTTTTTTAAATCTTTTTCATGTCTTAAAGTTTTAATGAAAACCATTTTAATAAGATGTATACAAAAAGCACAGTCTATATCAAGTCAGTGGTTGAGCACAAGAGAATAAATCATCATAGTTTACGAACTGAGTATTCCTAACACAAGAATCAAACTCTAGGTCTACCAAAATATTTTAAGACTTTCCTAACAAAATATCCAAATAGAACATACATTAAACTTTAAAGAGAAGTGATCCCTGTTTTTTCACTTTATATTTTGGAGAGTTACTCATTCTAATTCCCTGATTTCAGTCTAGAAACCTTTATTTTTGTCCATTTGGATTCTATCCACATTACTAAGACTACTTAATTTACCCAGATCAGTTTGCTGGTATCTGCATTCATTTAGAATTTTTCATCAACATAGACATTTTAAATGTAAAAATATATCCAAATGAACTCGAATATCCCCAAAGGATGTATTTGATAATGTAGAAAAGTCTGACCCCTGCTTGAAGTGGTGTCACACACAGATTTTATCTGGTGTGACTGCATTTGTTCAATAACGAGGTGCTGATTTTTGGCATCAGGGTCCAAATAAAAAGTAACGGAAACTTTATTCAGACTTAAATCTATGCATGAGGCCAGATCCTGAGTAGATATACATTTATTTACTTTGACCTTCTTTGTTTACCAGAATATAGAATTCAACAAGAAGCAGATCTTCAAAAACCAAGTATCCTGAATAGCAAACTGAAGAATACATGGTTTGGGGCAAAAGCAAATTATTCAGGTGGACAAAGAAAGAAGCTAATAAAAGTCATATTCATAATTTTGGTTTTATAAGATGGGAATTGGGTCAATAAACCTGTGTAATAAGCCACACACAGTAAGAGATGTGCATACTTGAACACCAGAAAACCCAGATATTTTATATTAATGTATATTCAAATGGTGATAAATATCAAGATGGAAGGAAAATAGACATTCTATAGTGTCCTATGAAATGTATTATGTTATTAATACTGGAAAAATATGTCGTGATATGAAGACTGTGATGGGTGTGCATGTTTAGGTAAGGAAGGTTATCTCTGACTACAGAAATTCTCCCGTTAGGAATTCCATGCTGTCATTACAATTCAGTTGCAAGATTCTCCGGGCTTCCAGGATAGAGGAGTATCTGGATTCAAAATGGGACCCATTAGGGAGGCTGTGTTGCCAGGCCTCATTCATTCCAGCTTTAATAATTGAGTTATTTCCCAAAGAACTAACTCTTTCATTTTACAACAAGTTCTATTCTCTGAAAATTATAAACTCTCTGGGTCTCTCCCGTCCCCTGCATTATTAGTATATTAAAGAGACAGAAGAAGGGATAAGGAGAGAGAGATGGAAACATCGATGAGAGAGAACATCGATTGGTCGCCTCCTGCATGCCCCCCACTGGGGATTGGGGCCACAACCTGGGCATGTGCCCTGACTGGGAATCGAACTGGCAACCTCTTGGTGCGTGGGTCGATGCTCAACCACCGAGACACACTGGCTGGGCTAAACTCTCTTGGTCTTAATACAGATTGTCCTTACATATTTTGATCATTTACATTTAGGAAAGTGTTGGTAAACATCCTTTAGGCATATAATAACTTTTTTTTTTTATCCTCACCAGAGGACATTTTTCCATTTTTTGTTCAGGTAGAGTGGGAGGGAGAGAGAGGAACAGAGAGAGAGAGAGAAACATCGACGTGAAAGGAACACATCGAGTGGCTGCCACCCGCACAACCAACCAGGGCCGGGGACAAACTGCAACCGAGGTACGCGCCCTTAGCGGGAACCAAACCCGGGTCTCTCAGGACCGCAGGCCGACGCTCTAACTGCTGAGCCAAACCGGCCAGGGCGGGCATATAATAACTTTTAAAAACATATTGAGCCCTGACGGTTTGGCTCAGCAGAGTCATCCTGCAAACCAAAGGGTCATGGGTTTGATTCTGATCAAGGACACATACCTGGATTGCAGGTTTGATATCTGGCCCTGGTTGGGGTCATGTGGGAGGCAACCAATAGATATGTCTCTCTCACATCGATGTTTCTCTCTCTTTCTCTCTCTCTCCCCCTCTTTCCCATTCTATCTAAAAGTCAATGGAGCCTGGCCAGTGTAGCTCATTGGTTGAGTGTCGACCCATGCATCAAGAGGTCGCTGGTTTGATTCCAAGTCAGGGCACATGCCCAGGTTATAGGCCTGATCTCCAGTGGGGGGCATACAGGAGGTGGCCAATAAGTGTTCTCTGCCATCAATGTTTCTCTCTCTCTCCTCTCCTCTCTCTAAAATCAATAAAGAAAAAATATTAAAATAAATAAATAAAAGTCAATGGAAAAATATCCTCAGGTGAGGATTAACAAAACAAACAAAATATATTGATAACTTGAGAGTTTCACCCAAAAAGATACAAAGTTCCATACATATTGTACATTTCACATTGTATACCATGTTGAAAACAGAAGAAATAAAATCTATCAGGGTATTATTTTAATTGAAATATGTTTAAAAATATTTTTTGAAATCATACTAGTTACTTGACAACTTTTCAGTTACTATTCAGTATCTTATTAAAGGAACAAAGAATAGCTAAACAAAACTAACAATATGAAAAAAGTGTTTTTAGAGCTTGGCAATTTTGAAGACAATTTAACTATAGAATGCAACATAATATTGAAGCAAATCATTCTTTTTAAGGAATCAAGTACCATTAGGGCATTGCTATTTTTTAGAAGCTCATTCCTATAATATTAATGTGAGGCATATTATCGCTGCATTTCTTTAAATGTATTGCATTACATGTACCTTAAGTTCAAAAGAAATTGAATTAATTGCTCCAAAATTCGGAAGAGGAATCCATAGTGCAGTTATGTTAAATTAGCAGGCCTTAGGTAGTATAGAAATGGTAAAATACAGGCTCCCAGTGGAAAATAAACGAAAGATAAAAGCAATTAAAAATTTTTTTCCCATGATTTGTCACTATGTTACTATTTAGAAATTCTGATCTAAAGAGGACTTGACTTAGAAAAGATCACATTTACATGGTAAAGGGAGTGGGTGGGAAGATTCAAGAAGTGAAAGGTTGGAAATAACATCCCTTTGCCTTATTTGTGACTACAAGAGGGTGTTTGCTAAGGAGTGAGGGCAAACAAATGTTTATAAATTTAATGAGGCAGGCTAAAATGAGGACATTTCTGCATACCCAGCAAGCTTATAAATATAGTGATAATGGAACTTTTAAACCCCTAAAAATTTAACTGTGTTATCTACTTAAATATTGGGGTTGGGGAGTGAATATACTCAAGGTTATAAGCAATGTTAATATAAAAGTCTTTATTTATTTTTATTTTTTGGTATGTGCCCCTAGCAGAAACCGAACCCAGGACTCTCTGGTCCGCAGGTCGACACTCTAACCACTGAACCAAACTGGCCAGGGCAAAAGTAATTATTTTTTAAAATTAGAAAATTAATTTCAGATGTATGTGTTTCATCTTTATTGTTAAACTCATTGCATGGGAAACTATCTGATATAAAGCACTATTTCATTACTTAAAACGTTTTAAAAATGTGCTTATAATTTCTCAATAGTTCAGTATTTTTTCATTTCCACCTTTAATAGAAAACATGTACAAATGTCATTTATTATAGTAAATATCTACATTGTTATCAGGTGAATTACTTCCTGTTTCCAGTAGCTTGTGCAATAAGACTGAGAGCGGGCTCATCCATGCACTGACACCCGGAGAGAGTGATCCACCTCATTTATGTGCTCATGATTTCACTGATGACTGAAACAGGCACAAGATAAAATCTACATGGAAATAAAAATCAGTGTGTGTTCAAGTAAGGTGTATAATAATGTAAAACCACCTAAACAGCAAGACTGTCATTGACAAGTACAGACCTTTTTTAAATGTCTCTACGTTGTGCTTGATAAGGATGCACTGAACATGATCTTCTAAGTTTCAAAATGGGACAAAACCAAGGCAAAAGTTGAATTCCAATGTAATTTCCTCCCATGGCCTAATTCCTTTTGCTGTTGGTTATAACTATGACATTTTTTGAAACACAGAGTACAGGTCACTGCCTGAGGCAATAGAGTATAGCTGATAGATGTACCATTACTGTGTTCCTATGAGAAAATATTTTGACATGTACAAAAATACCCTTCACATTCTGTTTCCTCAACCTGTTAGACAAATGGTTTATTTAAACCAGGTCATCATCTATGGGAAAGGAAGGAGAACACAGGGAAGAAAATGAATGAGATTTTTATCAGAGCCCAAATTTAGACATTCCTGAAAGTGTGCTGCAAGGAAAAATTATATCCTTTAGGGTTCAGACTGTTCTGCAACAATAAATACCTATACTTATAAAACTCTTGTCATTTAAAAACTGAAGTTGGGCGGGAGAGAAGGTCACAACTTGTGTAAAAGGCTGTGCAAGTCTAGGAAGCTGCTGTTATCTACCTCACAGGTTTTAGAACTTCAGCAGTTTTTTAAAGTTCTATTAAAATTGGAAATATGCCCTGGCCAGTTTGGCTCAACGGTTGGAGCATCGGCCTGCAAACCAGAGAGTCCTGGGTTCGGTTCCCGCTAGGGGCACGTACCAAAAAAAAAAAAAAAAAAAAAATTGGAAATAATCATTTTCAGTGTGCTTGATGCCAAAGAGATTTACAATGAGTTATTTTTGAAATGTTTTCAAGAAACCCACATGATGTTTCTTTCTCCCTTGTCACTCAAGGCAGAATGATGAATCTGCAAATATTTGCTTTATTTGCACAAATATCATCCACTAATTGTTCAGTAAGTGCAAATGATAACACAAACCTATATTTTATTTTGATAGATATCGATCATGGTTTCTAGGCAGTGTATTGAATTTTACCCCCCTACTTCGGATGGGAGCAGTTCTAACCCTATGAATTCCCATCAAGGTGCTGAGATCATGCTGCCACATGTTAGAACAATATGTCCCCATTATTAGGTTTTATAGACTAGGATGCACTTAGTAAGTTAAAAATTGTTGTTTGATTATGCTTACTCTTAGAATATTGTTAATAACATTTCTTGTTATGACTATTATTTATAGTTTTAGAAAAATCAACTAATACTTTGTAATTAATGTGTGCATTTTATATTATTTCTATTAGCTGCACTCCACATTGTTGACAAAGACATTGTTCGTCATGTGGCGCCTTTTCAGAATAATGATCAGTGATGGGTTTGACTGAGTTTTTGAGAGATTTGCTTGATTTAGTATTAAGTAGACATCTGTAATATATAAGGATATTATAATCAAGTCATTTTTAAACAGAGAAATATCTTACAAAATTCAAGTACATGAAAGTTAAGACTTGCTTAAGGAGCAGAACATTATGTTGTATTTAATTCCTAAGCTGAGTGAGAAAATGATAAATATATGCATGAAAGTGTGACCTCTCAAGTATTGTATATACGCATGAAACTTTCTCTAAAAGGTTATCATTTTTCCACAAAAGCTTAGGAAATAAGTGAAATATATCTTGTCTTCTTTAAGAAATTGAAAGTAACACAAGATGTCTTCATTATTATCTGGTTATATATTTGTAAAAATGTTAATTTTAAATTTTTTAATTCTGAGTCACAAAATGAACCCTGATCTCTGATCAAGCATTACCAAGTGTGTACCTCTAGATTTAAGTAGAACCAGAGTAAAAGAGATCCACTGATAAAAAAATGCATTCTCATAATGAAACAAGCAAGTATAAAAACAAACAGAAAACAACAAAAATACCTGCCATCCTAATGTCAAGCCAAAGGGATCTTGTCCATATGTAAAATGTAATTATTTCAGTTTGAACAATTTTATCTGCAAAAGCAGAGGAATGAGCACAAACAAAATTCCATATAATGTCTTACAGAGTGGTCCAAAACTTAACAGTTTTTGCTACCATTATCTTGTGAGAAAGTAAATATATTGTGTTGAAATCCATCATTACAAAAGAGATTATAGAATAATGTACCTCATTTTAGGGAGGATAACCTGCAATTAAGGTTTTTTTTTTTTAATCCTCATCTGAGGATATTTTTTCATTTATCTTCAGATAGAGTGGGAAGGAGAAAGGGAGGAAGAGAGAGAGAGAAACATCGACATGAGAGAGACACATCAATTGGTTGCCACCTGCACAACCCCAACCAGGGCCGGGGACAAACTATAATTGAGGTATGTGCCTTTAGTGGGAATTGAACCTAGGACTTCGTGGTCCACAGGCCAATGCTCTTACCGCTGAGCCAAACCAGCCAGGGCTGCCATTAATGTTTTAGGTTTCAAATGCAGAAAGTTAAATAAATGTATTCTTAAAAAAAAAGCCTTACTTTGCCCAGCTGGTGTGGCTCAGTGGTTGAGCATTGACCCATGCACCAAGAGGTTGCTGATTCGATTCCTGATCAGGACACATGCCCAGGATGTGGGCCCGATCCCCAGTTGGGGGCATGCAGGAGGTGGTCAATCGATGTTCTCTCTCATTGATGTTTCTCTCTCTCCTTCTCCTTTCTTTTCTCTCCAAAATCAAGAAAGAAAAGAAATTAAAAAAAAAAAAAAAAAAAAAAAAAAGCCTTTCTTTCATTCTTATGCTCTTAGCTCCAAAGCACACATAAATACAAACTTGCCAATGATCAGCATTGGCATCTTTTGGATAAATTATGTTGCAAAGTTGTTATAATTACCTTTTCCTTGTTACTCTTTCTTAGGGAAGGTCTCTCTTGCAATGAGAATAAATCAATTATATTTTGAAAATTGAAGTGATTATAAAATTCATGTAGATATATTAGTATTAAACATAGTGGTTACCACTGTGTTTGCAAAACCTACAATGGTAAAAACATTGTCGGCAAAATTGCCTGAATTCCCAAATTATGAACATTTCTTTGTTAGTTTTTCCCTTAACTTACTCTGAAGAATTCTTTTGTTGAACCTGAATCCAATGTTCCATAGGCAATTTCTGTTTGTTTGGCCAGATCTTCCGCACTTTCTATGGGTGAGACCATTCGCTCAACCGTCAGGAAAGCAGCGAGGTTAGCAGTATAAGATGATATAATGATGAGTGTAAAGAACCACCAAACACCTCCAACAATTCGACCTGAGAGGGATCTAAACATGGATAAGATAACACACATTTTCCTTTCTCTAACCATGATAGAGAATGAAAGAAATACCATCAAGTCACCATGTATGCCTAAAAATAACAATTACAATTTTATTTTATTTTCTGATAAATCTATTCAAGAATGTTTCTAGTATTTCTGTATACTTTGATATTACTTATGCTATATCAAATGTACAAATGCTATATCAAAAGTATAAATGTAAAAAATGTGGAAACTTTTTTCTTATTATTGTTGTTTGTAAGAAATGCGGAACTTAACACCGCCCCTTTAGGTACAGAAGAGGAATACTTACTAAATGCATCAATACTCTTCCCCTTAATATTTCAGCATCTCTGATATAAGAATGCAGCTTACAATGGAAATGAAACACAGTATCATGGCTTAATTGGCATCATTGTTTTCTCTTGGTGGCACATAAAATAGCAATACATTTTAATAGTGGATGATGTCTTAGATTTGATACAAGTTGGTAGATGTCTTTCTGAGAGAACTTGTTTTTACCTCAAGTCAGAGCCCTGCCAGGTAAGATAGGACATATTGCTAACGTGGGGCTGGACCAGATGAAGATCTAGGATTGGTCTCAAAGTGATTATAGTTGAGGATTTGTTGATAACTCAGTTTATATGGGAGTGAAAGATGAGTTATGTCCTAAAGCATCTTTATATACTGGTATAAAAATGTTCTCTGTCACTGCCAACACAAGACCAAAGTGTGAGCCTTGTCATCAGTGTGTAGCAGCAACATGAAAAACTGATGGTAAATCTCAAAAAATAGTTTTCTTTTCACCATTTCTCTGGCTATCAGGGATGTATGAGTGAGTGTGAATACAGAGGAGAAGTGAGCACAGAGAGAATAAAAAACTCAGGGCATATTCATAATTGATCTCACTCCTTAGGACCATCAAACTATTTTAAATTCCTGTGACAAATTGTATTTAAACATTTTTTTTTTAAAAAATATGAGGACACATTTTATGTTTTCTATTACATTTCTAGCTTTGAAATGTTCTCTTCTGAACCATCATCATATAAGTGTCAACTGTTGGTTTAAACTTAGTATTTGCTGAATCTTGGATTTAAAAACCATTACTTGATTTGCTTTGATTTCTTTTCATTTCATTGATTGAGAGTTAGTGATTTATATTTCCATCTTGGAATTTAAGCACATTTACAGATTCCTTGGGTCTTAAGGAATACAAACTGTTCTGTGGCTAAATTGTCTCTTTTTGAGAATGCATATATTTCTTTAAAAAAAATCCATATACTTGCAACACTAATATAATTCACTATTTAAATTTAATTCACAGTTTCTCCTGCCTTCAGCTACTTTTTTCATGGGCAAAATTGGTATTTTTTTCTGCACAAAAGATTGCTGTGTTTTTGGCAAACAAAAATAAAAAATGTCTCTGTGGAATCCAAAGAAAGTAATCTATGACTCCACAGATAGTGAAAAATATGCCTTATATAAAATAGTATTTACATTGCTGACTCTGCCTGTTGCTTAGCTTGTCATGTATTGTTATGCAGAACAATGTATATCTGGTACCTACTATATTGACTCAGGTTTTAGGTAATGCCATGAAAAAAATCTCCCTTAATTTACATAGGGTATAAATTAAGTTCACAATTAATTTCTAAAAATTAAGAACAGAAACAATAACAAAAACATTTAATTTTGAAAAGGAGTAAAAATGAAAATGAATTCTATTTTTACAACTTAGATTTTAGTTTCTGCCTGTCAAACTATTGAAAGAAATATTAATACTAAGTAATTTTTGAGAGTTCTGATGAGTTTCATATGTTAATTTTCCATTGGGATGTATCCATATTTTAGGTTAACTTGGCAATTTTGGCTGTGCATATACTTAAATTAATTTGGGAATTGCAAGTTTTTTTCTGTGTTTCAAGTAATGTTTCACTTCCAGGAAAAAAATAAAACCAAACACATAATGTGTAGAGCGATGACCTGCATAACACTTAGCATTACTGGGGAATTGGTGAACAACTGTTGAAACTAACCTGGGTGAAATGTCACATCCTTGCTGCATAAAAGCACCCAGGGAAAACCAGAGGCTGTTAAAGATGCCAAACTCATTGGGAGGCTGGTCGCTGGGTCCTTCCTTTCCGTCCTCTGGCTCTTCTGTGTGCCACTCATATGGACTAAACCTACTGACTAGGAACAAGACCACGCTGACACCAATGTAGGCAAAGACTATGCACATCCAGATCTCATAGGCCAGAGGATCCAAGAAGGAAAACACTCCTGGTTTAGATTTCTGAGGCTTTTTGATCATGATAGATATGCCCAAACTCATGAAGGGCTTAGAGAAGTCAATGACCTCCTCTCGGACCAAAGTGATTGTCAGAGGGGCAATAGCAATCTCTGCTTTCTATAAGAGAAAAGACACATGAAAACACATATGTTAACAGATTTCATGAAGCCATGAGCACTGGATTGATCCACTCAAAGCTAACTAGTTACACATTAATTCTACCATTTCTTTTCCGAATGCCAGTGATGAGTAAGGCCAGTAATAAATACAAAGATGAACAGTTGACTTGTTTTCATAAGATAGTCTGTCACTTAACTTGCACAAAATATTTTTATTAGTGCTAGGGATTAGATAAGAGAGAGAGAAACGGAGAAACAGTAGACATAAGCAAAAATAACTTCAACTCAGATAACTGTATTAGTCTTTAAGGATCTAGGGAAGCAAGAGAAAGAGACTTAATAGCCTTTTCATGTGGCCCCATTTCTGAATTTCTTGGCCAGGAATGCTATGTTGCTATCTTTTCTGTTTCATTTAAATGTTGCCACTGACTCATTACTTGGCCACCCCTTAATATTATGTATTGCAAATTTCACAGTCCTTTCTTTTTTATTCCTTTCCAGTTAAAGAGAAACCTATCATAGAATCTGTTTGTATGACAACATGTTCCAATTAAGTGCACACACAAAAATCTGGAAATTGGCATTTGCTTCTTCTTATTCACATACTTTGATTTTTCACTTTAGTTTCTAAAAAAGATATTGGAAAACTGTGGATTTAATTCTTAGATATTATGATCATAAGACACCAGCTTCCACTTTTGTTCTGTAATTATAGTTATTTGGGGGGAGGGTCTGTTTCCACATCTCTAAAATGAGGACATTTTCTTCTTTTGCCTCATTGTATTCTTATTGTGATTGTTTATTACAGTTCAGACTGACAAACTTCAGAGATAGGGGTTGGGGGGAGGGGTTAGATAAACCAAAGAACTTATATGCATGTATGCGTAATCAATGGACATAGACAATAATGCTTGGGTGGGGAGGGGTGTAGGGGTGGGAAGGGAGGAGGGTGTCTGGGTGGGAGGGGAAACATCTGTAAGAAATTAGTAAAAAAATAAAAGAAAAGAAAAAACTTAACTTTGAATGCATAATAAAGCTTTAAATTTTTACTCACCCTTAAAAAAATAAAATAAAAATAATAAAAAACCTTAATGAAATAACAGTGAGCATTTATTGAGGGAGTATGCATCTGATGCTAATCTTAATATTTTAAATGGCTACCCACTTAACCCTTTATGACAATCTTATGTTTCTCATGGTTTTATAGATGCTGAAACTGAGACCCAGGTTAGCTCTCCACATCACGGCTTCTCTGCAATCTGACCTTGAGCTTCTCTAACATCAAATGAAATAGAATGTGGTGAAAAAACTGCAAATTGTTACACGATTTACAAATGAAAAAAAAAAAAAAAAAGGTCTTTTGATTATTGTATTTATTTATTTACTTATTTTTAAATTTATTTTATTGTTGAGAGTATTACAGATGTTCCCCATTTTCTCCAAATTTCCCCCTTTCACCCATCTCCCACCCACCCCAGGCCTTCACTGCACTATTATCTGTGTCCATCGGTTAAGCATATAGGCATATAAATTCTTTGATTACTCTCTTCTCTGGTTCTATTTTGTTCATTAGTTTATTTGGTTCCGTAGATTATTTATTTTAAAAGGACAGTATTTGGCATTGAAGTGGAATCTGAAACGTACCTGGACATACATATTCTTACACAGAGGCTGTCCCTCTTGCATTCACTGCTGTGTACCCTCAGGCCCCTGGTTCAATGTGATGGCCAGCAGCTTGGTAGAGGGCATCTGGAGGGTGTGCTCTGACCATCATACTATCCACCGGGTGACTGAGAATTAACTGTATATGCCTTCAAGTGGGAATAAACTTAGTTTACATCATAAACGCCCATATATGTAGAAGCCAGAATTATTGCTGGGAGGTTTTTTTCCCACTAGTTATTTTACACAAGTGATAGATGAACTAGCTATAGAAGCATTAGTATATAAAAACAGGACCAGAAAATTAAGAAAAGATATTTCCATTTTTTTCACCTACTCTTATTTTTTTAAAAATATGTTTTACTAGTTATTATTTTATAAATAATGTTTTTCTTTTTTTAAAATGAGACAATGCAGGACATTATATCTTATAATTACTTTTTTCTTTTCAAAAGAATATGATGAACTCATTTTCATTTCAAAATGTACATTAAAATGAGTTATTTTTATTTTTATTTTTTATTTTTTTTGGTACGTGCCCCTAGCGGAAACTGAACCCGGGACTCTCTGGTCCGCAGGCCAATGCTCCAACCACTGAGCCAAACCGGCCAGGGCTTTTTAAAAATATTATTTTATTTTATTTTTTTGAAAATAAGTTTTAATGATTGCAAATATTTCATTATGTGAAAATATCATAATTTACTCAATCAATTTATTACTTGGGGGATATTTGTATTGTTTTATTTTATACAATGTATAACATGAATGATGTGAATGTCTTTGAAGACAAATCCTTGCACATATCTTAATTATTTAAGATAAATTTTTAGAAAGGGGATTGGTAGTCTAAATGGTAACCATCTTTTTAATGCTTATATTTGCCCAACTTTTCTCAGGAAAGGTTATGCAAAATTTCTACTTTCACCAGCATTATGAGAATGTACCTGCAACTTTAAATCTTGGACAACCCCTGTGTATCTTTATTCTCATTTATTTTAATTAATTTGCTATTGGCAACTTAGATCACATTGTATTAATTTGAATTTTCTTTTATTAAACGAATAGCCACTTTTATTTCTTTTATGTGTTATCTGTCATAATCTGTCCCTATTTTCCATATGAGGTAATTCATTTTCTTATGAATTTGTAAGTGCTTTTAAATCTATTACAGTATTCTCTTATTTTCCATGTATGTAGCAAATATTTTTCCTATTCATTAATTGTTTTGTTTCCATAAAACAATTTTCAACTTTTTTCATCTCATGGCACACATAAACTAATTACTAAAATTCTGTGACACACTAAGAATATATTATATTTTTTGCCTATCTGACATAAAGTTGGTTTAATTTTGATTCATTTACACTGGATGGCTATTGTTGTTTTGGCTGCTGTCATATTTTAATTTGACAAGCTAAGGAAAAAGAAGTCAGTGCCCCTAAAAGTCAGGTATTGCATGTTGTAAAAATTCTTGCAGCATACTGGTTGAAAATTGCTGACTTAGTTAATTGTTTTATTGTAATATATATGTTTTAAATTTTGTTGAAGCCATATAAAATTATCTTTTTTTGTTTTCAGCTTAAAAAAACCTCATATCATATAATCAATCTCAATTACATATATTTTATATTTTATTTTTTAATCAAAGATACTTTAATCTAGCACCTATAATGATAATTTCTCTATAACTTATTTGGTATATTGCATGATGATATGTCACAAATTTTAATCTCCAAGTAGTTGCTCAGCTATCCTAACAGGAATAAATGAATAATACACCATCTTTCACACACTACATTGTTCTGTGTAGTATTTTTTGAAAATTTTTATTTATTCAAGTTACCATGAATGAGTATAAAAACCTTAAAAGGAAAGAAACAGGAGAGAAATAAGAGACTGCAACATGAAAAAGTAGATAAAGTAGATGCAAAGGAAGACAAACATTGGATTAGGTAGTGACAATAATGTTCAAGGAGGACACTTCCAAAGTTTGAAACTTGTGTTTTGAAAGAGGCCAGTGAAGAGAGAAGATATGTTCGGGCTTTCTCCACTAACGCTGGATGTGTTGAGAGTGCCTTGTTCCATTCTCTCTCAGTGATTCCCAAAATTAAGTATAAAATATCTTCTGCAAGGGCTTGATAATATTTGAATTCTTGAGGATTTCTGGAGATTCATGAATCAGCATTTTAACACATACCACAGGTAATTCCGATACTACAAGGCTATGGAACATACTTTGAGAAATATTCACTTGAATCAAAATACACAGAAGTATAGCCGGGGCCAGGAGAAGGTCGTGGAGCAGCACACCAGAGATCATAGAATGGACTTGAGCAGGTGTGATGGGCAGAAAGGACCTGAGTATAAGGGAGGTTCTGAGCTTCTGAATCACCACCCTGTGGTGCAGTGAGACCACAGGTGAGTGTTTCACACATAATCTATTCCAACAATCACAGTAAAGTAACAAAGTTCGCCAAGAACAGATTAAAAAAATGGATTCAGAATTAATCATCGTGTCTAACTGGCTTCGTTGGGTAGAAGAGAATGAATGGAGTTTTACCTAGGGCCCTGGAAACTGGGGATTCATGTATGCATTAGCAGTAAGAAAGAAAGAAAAAGATGAAAAAGAAGTACAGACTTTGCAGACACCAGAATGAAAAATACCAAAGCTGCAGAAAGTATAAGAGACATGGAAGATGATTTCTATTGGGAAAAAGGTGGATGAGTGAAGTGGCGGAGATGGGGATATGTAAATCCTCTCAGATAGGCTGATGAATGAATGCATATAATGAGTATTAATAACCACTATGTTGTATTCTTTCTCTCTGAGAACTGCCTGACTTTGAACTTTGGATTATTGTGACACGTGTACTACTGACAAATTTTGTTTTCAATTGTACTGCTCTTTTCATATTATTTGTTCTCATTATTTAAACAATATTTCCCTAATAAAATATGGTCAGAACCCTTGCAAAGAAGTAAGCCTGGGCTATCTAATTTGTAGGGATTTCAGGGGGATATTTTATACACACACACACACACACACACACACACACACATACATATACACATATGTGTGTGCGTATGTGTGTATAAAACAAATGTCTTAGAAATTAACTCAGTTTAGTTTTCCCATTTATAACTAATTGGTAATCTTATGTTTCTGAAGTGAAACATTCAATAGTGTGTTCTGAAAGAAATAAGTAGAGAATGCTAACAACTTGGATAATGTTCACATTTCAAATCAGCTTACTGTATCAGGAGTTTAAAATACTTACCAAGAAACACAAGCATTAGAAACCCTTTTCCTTTGAAACTTAAAGCTCAATCTCAAATTGATCATGAAGCTTGAGGTAAAATAATTTTTGATGTCTTTACAACTTTATTTTTTCTCCTTGTTTAAGTCACCTAACTAGTCAGCAGTTCTTTCAAATAGATATGAAACTAACTGATCACTGTTTAATGCCAAAGAGTTTCCTCTTGTGGCTAAGATTATAGTTGCTATACTGAACTGTGTGGATAATGCTCATTGCTTCATGGTTTGAAAAGCAGGATGCAGAATCATGAAATGATCAAATGGCTTGGAAAGTAAGCCCCTGTGGAAGACTTTATTTATGTTCTAAATGGGTTTACCTATATTCTGTTCTGAGGAAGAAAGACTTTCATATAATCCTTCATTTCAAAGGGGCCTTGTGAGGATTAATCAGACTATGCTTTGAAGGTAACATTTGTGAAATATGAATTGGCTTATAGAAAATTTCAAGATAAATTTCAAGTGTATGTGACTTTTATTCATGATTATTTAATGAATAAAACTTAATATGCTAGGCTGAGTTTCTGGACTTTGGATATATCATACCATCACTAGCATTGGATAATTGCTGGTTTGATTTGGATACTTTTCCGTAGTAGCTGAAGAGACAGAGGTTGTTCTGATACAGGCAGGAATGTCTACATTGAATTTGCACTTGGCTATATATGTACACTCAATATCTAGTGAACATAAAAGGGAGGCATGATATGCTTTCTTGTAAGGCCCACTATGAAATAAATCCTAGCTTTTGTGTTTTGCTAGGTGTGAAAAATGATGGCATTGCATAAAGCTTAAATTTTCTGTGGTTAGCAGGATTGTAAGAATCTCACATTAATGGTGAACATTTTATAGATGCTAAAATAGTTTAATGATCACTTCACCAGTAATACATTTACCAGTAATTACAACCAACTGGGATTTAAATAACTAGCTAAAATGAGGTACAACTTTATGATAATGAAGGAAATCGGTTGCTACAATTATTAAATAGCATATTACTAATGGATTCATTTTATAGTTCTCAAAACAACATGTCTATGGGATAGAAGAATCAAACGCGAAAGAATAGTCATCACAGATATTGAAGTTAGTGTTTTGTTTTTTGTTAAATAGGACATCATATTCTGAATTTTTATATCTATTTTCTGATTTTGAAGCTACCAAGTGTCAGTTTCTCTCAGTTTGGGAATTGCATTATTAATGAAATAGAGAAATAGTTGAACATTAATACATGTCTCTTTGAATGTAACTGCAAATTAAAAATAACAGCAATAGACATTTAAAAATTGAAATGTGCCCAAGTTTAAAAAAAAACTTCAGTTTTATGTAAATAAATTTTTCAATAAATTGATTTGCTTACCCCATAAACAAGCTCTCCTACCATCCCATTCCAGATTTTTGTGTCTGCATCCCTTGCTCCGTATTTTCCATCAGGGACAATGGCAATTTTATACTTGATACCAATATGTTTTGCAATTTCAGATGCCAAATCTACACAGTATCCTTCATACTTGTCATTTCCTTCAAACATTTCATGATTTTTCTTGAACATAACATATGGGGATTCCTATAATGAGAGAAGTAGAGCTGTAAAGGAGAAATTATGAAACATTCGAAAATCTTCATGTCTTTCCGGTTTCAGAATTTGACAAAAATATTATATTTAGTGTTGTATTCACAATGACTTTGTGTGGCTAGAAATCAGTAGTAAAATAAATAAAAGAATATACAATTAAATATGCTTAGAAGTATGTAAAATTGCTTTAAACTAGATACTAAATGTCAAGTCTTCAAAATAATTTTCTATTGAGTAATTATTACATACCTAGCACTGTAACGGTGGTAAGAAAAATATCCATTAATAATCATCTAGAGAAGCAAAGTTGTCACCTTTGGCAATGAAATTATTAGTTCCAAATTATCCCGTGAAGTTAAAGGCTATTTAGTAGTCAGCTTCATGTAATAAAAGATTAATTTGAGGTCACCTGCCTCCACATTCTGCATTTTGTTTAGTCACAGTCCACTGTAACCTCCTTTAGGAAAAGAGATAGATCACTTTTCTTTGCTCTCTAGTATTTAGCAATATGCCTTTCTCAAAGTAGGTACTAACAAGTTCAAAGAAAAATGATTTAATTGTTTTAAAAATTCTATATCTTATTTTCATTAAACTGGCTTTCCAAAGTTCGTCCAACATTTTGGATTTAATTAGGATTTTGTTTCATGAATTTTTATTTTATCATACTATATGTCTTCAATGGAAGCCAATAATTTTTTCCCTCCTGTGACAATCACACACTTCAAGTGATAGTCCCATTTAAGTTTTGAAGCGAGTAAGACAAAAATAAAAATTATTCTCAAAATCCATATAAAATGAAAAAGTTTACTGGTGGCTAGTAATAACTAGACAGTTTTCAATTAAAGCACACACACACACACACACACACCTATTCAAAGGCTGTGAATTAAAAGACATGTTAGCAAAACTGCATTTGATTCTATAAATGGAAACTAAAGCCACTGTCTGAAAGATAGCCCTGGCGAACATACAATTTAGTGAACTCCTGTTCATACCTCAGAATTTTAGTTATTTGCAGGCAAGAAATGACCACTTTCAGCCACAAATATCATTAAGATCATGTATTTATATTTTACAAAATTGTGTGGTAATATTTATTTAGTAATTTTGATATTAATATTTTCTTTCATCACAGCAAATTTGTAATTGTGGAAGTTTAACTTGCTCTTGGAACTGTGAATTAGAATGTAATTTACTTTACATAATGTGGAAGTTGACACGAATTGTTTCTAAAAATACTTTGTAAATGTAGAAATTATTGGTAACAGATTAAGAATATAAATGAAATGATATATGATTTTCTCATAGAGATGACCTAAAGAACCCAACTGTGGGCACTGTCTAGGATTGGTCCTTGTATTCTTTTCTTAAATTCTGCCTTAGGTTGACATAACTAAATGATCCAGAAGTCTCTTACTTGTCCTTTGAACTTGATGAATATTTTAACATTAGCAAGTTTATCCATCTATAAAATTAAGGCAACAAATTCTTTTTTCTTTAGATGGATAAAAATTATTAGTTTATAAAAAACATTCTCTAAATATAATGTTTTAAAAAATGTTTATCCATCTATAAAATTAAGGCAACTAATTGTCTCTTCTTTCTTTCTTTCTTTCTTTCTTTCTTTCTTTCTTTCTTTCTTTCTTTCTTTCTTTCTTTCTTTCTTTCTTTCTTTCTTTCTTTCTTTCTTTCTTTCTTTCTTTATTTTTATCCTCACCTGAGGATATTTTTCCATTTTTTGTACAGATAGAATGGGAGGGAGAGAGAGGAAGGGAGAGAGAGAGAGAAACATCGATGTGAAAGGGACACATCGAGTGGCTGCCACCCGCACGACCAACCAGGGCCGGGGACAAACTGCAACCCAGGTACATGCCCTTAGCGGAAACCGAACCCGGGTCTCTCCGGACCGCAGGCCGACGCTCTAACCGCTGAGCCAAACTGGCCATGGCTGTCTCTTCTTTATATAGATAAAAATTATTAGTTTACAGAAAACATTCTCTAAATATAAAGTTTTTCAAATTATACATGTGGCGATGAAAATTGAGGTGTTGTTATAAAGCACTGTTAATTTCTAAGACATGCTATAAAATATTGGTGGTTACAATGAGCTAATCTTTTCACTTTTTCTTACAATAGCTAATTAAAATATGAAAGAATATATAGAAAAAAAGCAAGAATCACACATTGTAAAATGCTTAACATTCTAATGGAAATGGCCATATAACTATCACCTATAGTTATTAGTATAACAAACAATAGTTCTTCAAATGAGGTGTAGCTAGTATTCACATTTGCTACTAAGGCTGAAGATCTATTCTAAAGTGTCTGGAATATTTGAACACTTAGGAATTTTAGCCCTAAAGTTGGGCAACTTTCTGTAACCTAATTTGCTAAATTCCCTCTGCATTATTTTGTGAACTGTTGCATCATTAAACATTGTACTTTTATTATTTACTCAAACATTTATTAAGCACTCACTGTGTGCCAGGCAGTTTGCTGGGAACTGAGGGTGCAGATATCAATAAAACTTGCCCCCTGTCCTCCTGTGATTAATTAAGCTTAAATTCTTTGAATGAGGGGAAAGGAGTGGGACTGGTGAAGGAGAGCAGTAAACAGTAGCTCTTACTTATTTTGTAGTTACTCTGTGTCAGGTACAATGCTGAGTTCTTCCATTGTGCTCTTTCGTTTACTTTTCACACTGACATTTTGAGGTAGGTATTTCCCACTTTGCAGAAAGGATATTTAAGTCTCAAGTAGGTTATGCAGATTGTTTAATTCCACAGAATTAGCAGAAGTGGGAGTTGAACCTGTATTTTGAAATCTCTGAAAGTATTTGAAACTGTGATTGCATCTGTCAAAATAGGTGTGTCTATTTGAGATTTCATATGCTTTAACAACAAAAAAGGAAAGATTAAAAAAGTGAGATTCTGCATATTTAGAGAATGAAGTTCTTTATATGAACTCTTGAGTAAACAATGTAGATAAAACCTTCCCATATCTCCTCAGTGTCTGGTATAAAAAAGGCACTTAACAAATATATAAATTTCCTGGTCTAGCAGGGCTTCCTAAATCAGAATATCATGGCAAAGTAATATGGTTAGAATTTTTGGTTCAGGTCTTCAAAAGAAAAGTAAATGTAACAAATGCTGATCATCTCTTCTGAAACAGGTATATGTACATATAAGTTAAAAAAATATTTCGGGTCTTCTTTTTTTTTTTCATTTTCCTTTTGACAGCAGGGCTCGTCATGTCTTTGTTTTCTTGCCAAACAAAGCAATGAAGGCTAGAAAAGTCTGCAGTTGCCTGAAGATGATGATGAGAAATTTAGCTTGGCTTTTGCACAACCAGGGCACGCACAGTGATGCGTTCAGGGAAGTGGTGCACGCAGCACAAGAGAAATAAGAGGAGCTGACTCAAGTGGAAGAACAAAGGGAGGGAAAGCCTCGGCTTTCCTTAAACGAAAGCTCTTTGGTTGCTTCATTCCACCCAGTTCCTTTGAGAGGGTTTCCTTTTCCTTTTCCAAATGAGTAGCAGATCCTCATCACTCTCCCAACCTCCTCTTACCCCTGCCCCAATCTGACAATCTGTCCACAAGTAGCCTTTCACACACTGCATACATGGGGTGATTTAATACAAAGTTTTGGGGCTACTATGGATGAAGGAAATACCAAATCTTTTCCATATCTATGTATAGTGAATCTACAAAATTCTACATTGAGAAGCTAAAGTATCAAACAGTTCCTAAGAAATATACTAAGTAACCTCTAGAAAGATCAAGTGCGATAAGTAAATATAATTTAAAAAATTAGTTCTAGCCCATCATTAAGGGGATTTGTGGGTCATCTTTGATAAGCAACCTTATGGAGTTTCAGGTGTTCAATTGTGAATAAAAATGGAATGATCAGAGAAGTGCAATAGCTTTCAGTTTGAAGAGTATAACCTTCCATCTTTATTATCGACTACTGTTCCCTGTGGGATAATAGTGCCTTAGAAGTTATTTTCAATGCATTACTTCTTAGTAATTATGAATTTATTACTACAATTTCTCTAATGAATAGAGTTCTACATCTGCTCTGCTATTTCAGGAAAGAAACCAATCTTAGTCTAAAGGTGTTATGTTAGGGTTTGCTTAAGAAAACGTTGGTGTAAATGAATGAAGATGATTTTCAATCAATGAAGTATTATTTTCCTACTGAGAAAATTTCTTTTCATTATTTGTATTTAGCAAAAGTGAAACTATTGAAATAGATACCCATTAGAAAAGCTATTCTAAACATCACAAATATAACATTACAATTAGAATTGAAAACAGTTAATAAAATCAATAGTGTCAACAAAAGTTATTTGTTATGTAGATACTTGTTTTTCTCCAAAGAATTTTAAAAGTTGCAAATAATTTATCCCATAGGTAAAATTTTTAAAAGTGGAAATTAAAATGTTATTCAATTCAGGAAAAATGAATACATTTAATGGCTGCAGAGTTTTAAGTTTGTTTAAAATAACTTATTTAAAAACGAACTGAGTTATAACCCCTTTGGAGGCAGGTGTATATATGGGGTACAGCTGTATGTGCGATGTGGGCAAAAGTAGGTTTATAGTTGTTTATATGGAAGATGATACAATAATTAATAAATAATAATACAAAAATAAACTACGTGTTTCACATACTCACCACTGTACACCTACTTTTGTCCACTGCCCATAGCCTGTATAGTGTGTGTGTGTGTGTGTAATATACGTAGTTGTATGTGCACATGTATCTGTGTGTAGTGCATTTACAAAATTCTACATAGAGAAGCTAAAGTATCAAATATCTCCTAAGAAGTACAAAAAGTAACCTTTAGAAAGATTAAGTGTGATAAGTAAAACAACTTTTAGGTTTGTAACATAATTCTGACACTGTAATAAATACATTTGGATTTATGAAAAATTTTCCTGAAGGACTCTTATGTTTATAAAATGATAAGAAATACTTTCTTAGTTGAGTAATGCAGCATAATCATCATTTAACTTCAGAGTAAAGATTTGGGGAAGACTGGATTTGGCTGGAATATCATTGCATCATTTCTCCTCTTCTGGGGAGGACAGCAGCCAGTGAAAGCAGTGAGGCTGGAGGAAAACACCCTCTCCTTCCCCGAGGTCCGTCACAAGCTGCCTTTTCCTCAACTGCTTTACTAGTCCAAGCCACACGGCACATATTTGGCTTCCTTAGGTGGTTTGCAGAAATTATTATTTTGAATGTAAAAAGTTAAGTCCATATGGTAACATTCTCATAGGTTTTTCAGATTTGACAAAATTTTTAGTCACTAAGACTTCAGATAAAAAATGCTGAGCATCTGAATCCAAGACCTTAGACCTTTCAGCTTTGCAGTCATGATTCTCATTTGATGATACTGTCAATTCTATCTTTTGTTTAGATTTAGCTAAGTTAAATTCAGTGAGACTATATTCAGATAGAATAAATTAGACATTAAAATGAAGATCACATTATAGACATACAACACTGTTATAAAAAATAAATTTCAACAATGCAAAACACTGAAGCTACATTTTATTTAAGAATAATATGTAACATATTTATTATCTCTCTTGTCTAATTTCTGTCACTAGAATATACGTTTTTTGAATGCAGGACTTTTGTCTTTTTTGTTCTCTTACATATCCCCGGACTTCTAACTGTGCCTAGCAAATAGTAGACGCTTAATACATATTTATGAAGGAATGAATAAATGAATTGATCAATCAATTTTATTTAACAATAGCATATATCATTACAGTGTAGCAACATATAAATAACAACATACACAAAGGAAAGACAAATGGGAGAACAGCAATGCCATATCAATTCAATCAAAATGCGTGGTTTCCAGAGCCACGGCACCCTCAGCCCTCTTCTGCATCTAGATATCTGTCTTGCATACATTACAATGTCTAACCAGTTCCATCTGCATTGGGAGTTTTCAGTTGAATTTGGGGGATTATTACATGCTGCTGTCAATATCTCATTCATCTACAAGGAACCATATCTTCAAAATGAGTGAAGTGGTAGAGATGTCACAGGCTATCATTTTCAACAAAGGCAAATACAAGAAACACTTTCAGGAGAAGGATTCTGGTATTTTTATTATTATTATTATTATTATTATTATTTTTGGAGCTACTGAATAACTATGCAGTTGCAAAGACCAGAGGTATTATGTATATGAAGATTACATTTTTATACAAAAGACAGACAATAATGTACTATTTTGATAGCAAAAATATTGATAATATCACTGTTGAACAACAGATAACTTTACAGAATATTCTTTATGTCTATAGGAAACAGTCGAGTTTTTCTTATTTTTTGATAGCATGCTTCCAGAAAACTAGCCATGTTTGCAAAATTAATTCAATATTTTGGTTTTAAGAATTAGATCTCCAGCCCCTTTATTAACAGGGATAGATAGGAGATTCTCTGCATTTTAAAACACTTTATTTCACATAGAACAGGCAAAATGCAAAAAAAAAATCTTTAAAGAAAACACTGTACATTCAGAAAACAAGCACACAAATTCATAGATATTTACTTTTAGAAAATCTACTTGGAATTAAGAGTGATATAATTCCATTATTTATGTACAATGACCTCATTTTTAGGTATGGGAACTGATATGTCAAAATCGTTAACTGATTCTTTTTCAACATCTATTTATTTTCTTGAGAAAGATGAGGATTAATTCTTCTTTTGTTCTTCTTTCTAAGAAAAGTCACAGAACTTAAAAATATTTTTTCTGGTCGTCCAGAGTTGGTCATCAGGAAGAATCCCACATGAAAATTTAGATTAAATTTACTACAGAGGAGAACAAGACTTGAGCCCTGTTAGGAATGGTCGAACAACGTGGAACTCATTTCTTTCTTGATCAATTTCTTAAAATAGGATTCTTCATCAGAGGCTGAAAAGAGGAGGACTGTACTGAAGTATGACTTTCCATTACTGTGTCTTTTTTAGGAAAAGAAATATATATATGCATTGCTTTTCAAGTCCCATGCAAACATTACACCATTAAGTTAGAAGGCATATACTTTGCACTCTTACACAAAAACTGTTGTTGATGGGTTTCATTCTAAAACCATAAACTTCTGATCATCAAGGCAGATCAACACTGAATGGCTGGCTGGCGATGCAACACAGATAAAACTAATTGCAGCATATGAAAGCCTCTCTGGAGCTTTTCATGCTTTGATCTCAATGTCAAAATCTTCACAATAACACAACTAAAACCTAAAACTAAAATTACATAAGCTAGAAAATAAATTACATAAAATATTTCCACTTTATTTAGAGTAGGGGCTCCATAAATAATTAAAAATATGTTCTGCCTAACAAGACAGTGAGCTGAGGATATCTAACTTTAAATTATATAGAAAAGGTCACCGATTGTTGATCTCTTTTGACTAGCATTGACTCTAAAGGGCTTGTTTGACTTTAGAAGATAAAAATACATAAAATTTTCTATTATTTAAAAGGTAATTTCATGAAAATCTCTTTGGAGAAGTAGCCTTAAAACGTAGAGTATTTTTTATTTTATGAGGTGATTGAATGAAGCAATCTTAGTTTTCTTAATTTGTAGAAGTCCTATAAATTATATCATGTATTTGTCACTAGTCAATGAGAAAAATAATCGGTGCAAAAATCCATTTTTGCATTAAAAATAAATATAAAACAAAATTTATTTTTAAAGCATTCAGGTGTACAAACCATGCTCATTAAAATCTTCATTCGTATCTCCACTATTACAAACAGACAATGCAAATTGTTACCCAATGATTAAACTGCCTGGAAGTTATAACTTTAAACACCAATAACTATTATTACATTGATGTTTTAACAATATAATAACAGTAATAATATGGTGTTTACTACCAGTTATTTTATATTATCGGTTATTGATATTTTTCATGTTCATTCTTTTTTCCTTTGGAATCTTAGCATTTCACACATTTTCATCTAGGGCATGACAGTTTTAATTTGTGATATCTGAGCATTTTTCCAAGAACAACAATTTAACAGAAGATAATACATAACAGTACCAAATGTACTCAAAGCTCAGGACAAACCTATCAAAGTCTCAACAGACTTTTGTGGATCAGAACACCCATGTCAGCATAGTTTCCCGCACCCTGCTCACCACAGCTGGGAAATTAAAATTGTCTGTGGACAAAACGAAAGAGCATAAAGCATAGACCAAAACTTACCATGATAGTGGTTACAACCACTGTTCTGTTCTCAATAGCTGCTGTGTCATTGCCGAGAGTGGGTACGTCTTGAATCAAGACTAATTTATCCATATCATTCCAGTAACCAACCTGCCAAATGAAGAAAATTCTTGAAAACAGATTTTAGGAGAGTTTTCTCTGATTCTTACTGGAACAATGAGCAATACTAAGAAGAAAAAACAAATTTAAAAAGCAGATAAAAAAAGTGTTTGAAAATTTTCTTAATTGATGATGAGCCAGTTTTCCTGATGTTAGTGATACCACCTGATGATATGTTTGGTAACTTTACAATGTGGAATTATGAAGTAGCCAAAACATTGAGAATGAGTGGCTCAAAGGAATATGAGTACAGATGCAACAACATTCTATGTAATCCTCTCTTCTTGTGAGATAGACTGGCATCCTCTAAGATGATATGATTTTATCAATAATGGTACAGATCTTATGGTAAAGGGAATCACCATATTTACAAAGGAAACATTACTTGATTATTTTCAAACAAAAATGATTTGTGGCTTTTTAAAGTAATACAGAAACAGTTTTTGGTTTGACATAACTTAGTCAAACCTAGGTAAGAGTCTTATCATTTCTAAAATGCTAAACACATCAGATTCATATTAATGAACAATATTTTTACTTTCAAAAGTTACATTTAGATTTGTAGTTTTTTATTTTCAAATGAAATCCTCATCTTACTTTGTTGTTTAGATAAATGCAAACTTCTTTTCATAAAATACATTAAATAATTAGTTAAGCACTTTATAAAGTAGTAAACTACAATGGGGTCTTTTTTTTTTTTTTCCTTTTAGAGAGAGGAAAAGAGAGAGAGAGGTGAGAGAGAAATGTTAATTGGCTGCCTCTCCTATGCAGCCAGACAGGGGACCAAACTCACAAGCTGGATATGTGCCCTGACTGGGAATTGAACCCATGACCTTTAGGTATATGGGACCATGCTGAACCACACCAGCCAGGGCTACAATAGGGTGTTTTTGTTTTGTTTTGTTTTGTTTTTTATCTTCACCAGAGGACATTTTTGCATTTATTTTCAGATTGAGTGGCATGACCAACTGGGGCCGAGGACAAACTGCAGCTGAGGTACGTGCCCTTAGCAGGAACCAAGCCCGGGACTCTGGTCCACGGGCTGACACTCTAACTGCTGAGCCAAACCAGCCAGAGCTACAGTGGGGTTTTAAAAGTAAGTGAGGGGCTTTGTATCGTGCTAACCATTACATAATAATAATGGCTCCTACTTGTCGGCTGCTTGCTTTGTGACAGACACTGTACTCAGTGCTTTTGTAAATATGCATGTTAAGGTTTATAAACAAAGCAAAGGTAGAAGTAGTTGCAGTTATTCTCTATGTTTTAGATTTGAGAACCCATATTAGGATGCTAAAATACAAGATTATACTCTAGTAGGGCCAGAATTCAAAACTCAGGTCTGTATGATACCAAGTCCATATGGATTTTGTTATTATGCTACACAGCCTCCCAAAATGGGTGTTTATTTAATGCTTGCCAAACATTTTTTCTTGAATTTCTGGATGCAGCTCAAAAAACTGCTGTGTTTAGTAAAAAATATGTAATTGCTCACTGGTCTCTTTACTATTGTTCTAATACGATCAGGAAGTCTCTTTTGCATCCTTCAAGTTTCTTAACTGTGGTAACATTTGTGCAGATATTAAAATAAAGTAAGCATTAATATGTCAGAAAGAAGCACTATATTATTTACAAATAGTGTATATATAACTCAATGACAGAATAGATGGGGCAAAAGAACGTTCATTAACATAGCTTGCTATGCTTCCTCTTCTTTTTTTTTCTTTTTTTCATTTATCTTTAGATAGAGCGGGAGAAAGAGAAGGAGGAAGAGAGAGGAGAAACATAATGTGAGAGAGACACATCGAGTGGCTGTCACGCACACGACACCAACCGGGGTCGGGGACAACCTGCAACCAAGGTACGTACCCTTAGTGGAAACCGAACCCGGGCCTCTCTGGACCATGGGCTGATGCTCTAACCGCTGAGCCAAACCGGCCAGGGCTGGCTTGCTATACTTCTTAGTGTGATCTGAAATCCTGACTGTGTATGAATTCAGCAATTATTTTCAGTTGTCCATATGAATTCATTTGTAGCTGGTATTTACTTAAAAATTCAGTAATAAATTTAATTTAAAAACAAATATGCCTTTGAGACCTACCATCTCTCAATTCCTACATGTACTTAAAAAAAGAAAACATGTCAGTCGCTTCCTGTGAATTCTCCTCTCCACATGACTGTAGCATGACTTGAAAATAGGTGTCAAGTTTAGCACTTCATTATGCTGAGCTGCCCTCCAGACCTCAGCCGCCTGTTCTCTGGGAAAGACCATTTTCTGTGCTATTGTGTCCCACAGCAGAAACACCACAGAGCTGGACATTCTGAAGAGTCCTCACATATTGGCCAGACCTTGACATTTTGCATTTAAAAACAGCCTGTGGGTTCACAACTATCTCCCCTCACCACAGATAAATGATATAGAAGTGCTGACAAATTAAAATAATAAGCAAAAATTTACCCAACGGTATCTATTTGCCTTATATCTATTTACAATTCTGGTGGAAAAAAAAAGCCACGGTTTGTGATGTGCGACCAATTAATGATAGATCTCATGTGGGCCGTGGACTTACTGGAATGGGCAGTGATACAGGGGTCATTTCCTAAAGAAACGAATCTGAGAGTTTGGACCTGGAAACTCATATAACATGTAATCTCTCTCTTTAGTTCTTCACAACATTTTACACTTTTCTAGAAATGTTTCTGAAGCCTGATCTCATTTTACCAGACAGGGAACTAAGCATTTCTCCTAGAGAGAGAAATTGGGCAAAAAATAGTTTTGTAATGCTAGAGCTAAAACACGAAAGCACTCAATTATTAAATTGGCAAGGGGTGTCATAAACATATTTGTCTTCTTTGGACTTGTAAAGGTGAATAGTGTGCAAATCTAATCATAATATAACATAAGAAGAAACATTTTTGCATTTACAGTGGACTTTGCCTGCAAGGTTGGGATTAGGTAAGGACTGAGGACAGTGAGGAGCCCCTGTTCTACTCATACTTGGTTCCTTGGAGAGCTGATCTGATCACATTTGTCCAGAAAAATATGAATTAATTCCAGTCCTAAAGAGACCTTACTGGGCCCTGGGACTCACCATATTTCTTAGTGATCAAAAGAGTGAGCTCTGGCCCTGGCCGGTTTTGCTCCATGGTTAGAGCGTTGGCCTGTGGTCCAGAGAGACCCGGATTTGGTTCCCGCTAAGGGCACGTACCTCGGTTGCAGTTAGTCCTCAGCCCTGGTTGGGTCATGTGGGAGGCAGCCACTCGATGTGTCCCTTTCACAATGATGTTTCTCTCTCTCTCTCTCTCTCCCTCCCACTCTATCTGAACAAAGAATGGAAAAATGTCCTCGGGCGAGAATAAAGAGTGAGCTCTGGAGCTGGGTGGCCCTGTTTGCACTGCAGCTCCATTGCTTTCTAGCTGAATGTCTCTGGGCAGTTACTTAGCTTCTCTGAGCCTACTTTCCAGTTGTTGAGAGAATTACATATAAAAATGTACATCAATGTCCCATTACTGTGCTTAGGATATAATCTACTTTCAAGAAATATCATTTTTACAATTAAGAATTCCTGAAATCATGTAAGTCTGACCCTGGAGTGTTCCTCTGGGGGTCACCAGGATGAAAAGAAGATTCCATCATACGTAGGAACTGGGACTTCAGAAAGAGCTGTGTGGCTTCTGCTTAATGAGACCCTCAACCTTAATGAGATCCTGCCACAGAAGTCAGACAAATTGATGGGTTGACTCTCTGATCTATTTCCAAACACAGCTCCCTTGCTGGCAAGTGTTTAATTTACAATAACAATTACTCACTTTCCAGATATATCGCTGAGTCTTGCCAGCATCGTGTTTCTCATGGTACTTCATTTTTAAATGTAGTATTCCCGACAGAATGCCCAAGTTGATCATTGCCACAGAAAAACATAGGTGAATCCTCACGCTCTACCTTGCTCTTTAAACTGTCTCCTCATAAGAGCTTCATTGTGGTCACCATTGTGCTTCACTAGCCCATGAAAAGCTTCTGCACGATAAGTAGTCTGCTTGATAATACCACTAGTTTCTGCCAGCTGCTTTTTATCCATGATGCTTTCTTTTACAGACAGATCATTTTACTTTTTGTACTTACTGTTTTGTGAAATGTGGAGCTGTCTTTTGCATTTTAGAAAGCTTTTGCTAAGGGCTAATCTTGCAAGATGTGGTTTGTGGCAGGAAGGTGTGCCTGTTTCTACCTCTGTCCACCAGTTAGCACAATGTTTCTAGGGCCCTGTAAACTTTGTTTCCAATGGGCCTCTCTTCCTTTCTTGTTGTTGGCCCTGTGCTGACAGAGTGGGTCCACTCAGTGTTCACATAGAGCCCCCTAAACTTTTCGTTGAGAATACGTCTCAGCCCCTTGTTGCAGGCAGTGTCCTTAGAGGAGCCCACCATGCAGCCTGGCTTTCCAGCTGCCATCCATCTCCTCCTCTTCCTGATCTGGGCCAAGTAGGCTCCAGCCTGCCCCATAGTAGCTGTCAGCCTGCACGTTAGGAGATGCCACAAGAGGCTGAAAAGCTAGAGATGGTTTTCATGGCAGTGCCAACTCTCTCTTCATAGATAGGTAGAAGCACAAGGTTGGAAAGCCTGGAGCAAAACACAACTCAGGAAGCTTTTAGCATTTCCTCTATTAACTGTCCTTCCTGCACCTCCTGCCTCTTCCATTTCTACCTATTCAAATTCTAACTTCATGGCTAACATTAAATCCCACCTCTTCCATGCAGCCTTCCTTGACTTGTCTTTCTCCAACTGAAAGTAATCTCTTCCTCCTTGGAATTGCCACATGCCTTCTCTTTAATTATCATATAGCGCTTATTGTATTCTACCCAGAAAATAATCTCGCTCAGAGCAGGGTCTACTCAGGTGAGGTAATGCTGTAGAAGGTTCTGGCATCAGACATATCTGAATTGAAGTCTTTGTTTTCTCACTTTGAAAAAATAACCATGACCTATTGGAACAAACATTTTCTCATTGGAAAAAGGGAGGTAATAGTATTAACATTTAGTTTGTTGTTAGGATTAAATTACACCAAATCCCCTGCTTGGGACACAGCAGGTTTTTCATAAATTGTAGCAATTATTATTATGTTAAAGCAGCAAGTTTTCTTTTTTTAATAGCCAAGTGATGAAACAAATAGAGTTTTTAGATAAATAACTTGATAAATAGCCTGGTCAGTGTGGCTCAGTGGTTGAGCATTGACCCATGCACCAAGAGGTTGCCAATTTGATTCCTGGTCAGGGCACATGCCCAGGTTGTGGGCTCGATCTCCAGTGGGGGGGCAGGCAGGAAGCAGCCAAGTGATGTTCTTTTTCATCAATGTTTCTATCTCTCTCTCTCCCTCTCCCTTCCTCTCTCTCAAAAATCAATAAAATTTCTTTCTTTGAGCATCCTAGCTAATTCTAGAGAAAGAAAATGTTAAAAATCATGTGTTAATTACAGGTGAATAAAATGCATATAGCCAGTTACTCTTGTGGGAGTGTGTAGCTTCATTACAGATTTTTGGATGTTGGGAACACGTCTGATATGCCTCTGAAAATTCAAGGATTTGTCAGGAACAGCTTCCTGAACAACTTCCCTGGCCCCTCAGTTGGAATTCTTAAGTACTTCTTTTCTTCTTCAGCCTAACACTAATCTTTTTTTTTTTTTTAATCTTCAGCCAAAGATATTTTTCTATTGATTTTCAGATAGAGTTGGAGGGAGGAAGGGAAGGAGAGAGAAAGAGAGAGAAAGAAATATTGATGTGAGAGAGACATATTGATTGGTTGCCTCCCACATAATCCCGACCAGGGCCAGGGATTGAACTGTAACCAAGGAACATGACCTTCACCGGTATTGAACCCACAACTCTTTGGTCCAGGGGCTGATGCTCTAACCACTGAGCAAAACCAGCCAGGGCAGCATAACACTAATCTTAATAATCTTACCTTCTATCTGCTCTCTCCTTTGCTTACTTCAATGTGTTAACTTGCTTACTTCAAAAACATATGCCCACCCATTAGAAACAGTGTTCTTTGTTGTTGCTTACATATGATTGTATGCAGGTATCTCTTACCTGCATTGTTCACTTTCCTGCAGCATTCATTTTGTTTTGAGATATTCTTTTTGCTAAGCTTTAAAAAAATATATTGCTTCCATTTTGGATAAAGGATATAAAGAGTGTATAAATTAATTTGTTTCAGCTTTGGCAGACGATTAAATATCAGTTATATTTCAGCACAGATTATCAAGATAGTACTATTCATAAAAAACATTAAAACATGTAGAATATCCAGTTATTTTTCACCTATAAGCCTTTAAAAATGTCAAATGCAAAGTGAGAAAGCAGTTCGAGAGTGGCTCACCTTTCTAGGCCCTGTGCTCTTTAACTCAAACACATCCATTGTGTAATTGACCCTACGTCCATAGTGGTCAAACTGAACATTCCCTGTCAGTCCTTGAATTCGAACCTATAAATGAGAAACAAAAACAAAAACAAACCCAAACACATATTTATTTGCCATCTCACTTACAGAAATCTTAACTTCATCTGCTAGGCTTATGGGTGTACAGCTATAAACTACAGGCAACTCACTATAAAACACCATGGGGTATTTGAGCTCCTGGAATAGAATCTGAAAGAGAAATATTAAAGGAATATATATGCAATTCTACTATATACCTGGAAAATGAATATGTTTCATTTGTTTTTTATAATATAAAATTTCCATTGTAACTAATGAATCCTCCTCAGTACTGAAGTATTGTTTATAGGAATGTAAGTGTTGTTCGTTTATAGTTACTTTTTAGTGTTATCTATAGAACCACATAATAAATAGCCCTGATAACCACACCAGATCATGCTTCTCCTTGCTAACATTAAAATTAAGATATAAAAAGTTCAAAATATAAGTATATTTTGAAAATATTCACATGTATTTTATTCCAAATTTCCTTTTTCTTCATTTTTATGTAACATGTCCTGAACCCATGGCATGTCAGAATATTTATTGAAAATATAAGCATGTTATATTAAACATTTTAAAAACAGTGTTAATATAACTATAAGACTAAAATAAATTATTTAATCCAAGGTTACAAGGCGATTTAAAGGTCTACTGAGGTCGTCATTAGTAGTGTTGGCCAAATATTTCTGGTTCTTTGCCATTCTGGGCCCAAGGTAAGCTCATACTTTCTAAACCACTTGTGGTTGTTGAGGCCTACATGACTCTTCTGACGAATGAGCTGTAAACAAATGTGATGAGTGTCACTACTGTGCCAGAGTTTATTGCCAATCTGAAACCTCCCCACAACTCTATTTCTCTTTGTGACATTCAAGATGGTAACTGCTCTGTCAGTGTGGGCCCCTGAGTGAGTATAATAAGCAGAGTGTCCTTGATGATCTAGTGTGTGTGTGCACGCGAGAAACACTCTTTTATGATTGCAAACCACTGGAACTTGGGGTTGTTTGTTAGGACAGAATAACCTTGCTTATCCTGACTAAACATCTACACAGGATGTAAACACTGGTATTCTACCCAGTATTTTACTCCAAAATGTCTCAAAAATGATAATGGTTCTACATATTAAAATGTCAATCATTATATATATTTACTTTCAGGTAAATTATTCTGTTCCCTTGACTACTCCACTTAAACAGGAGTGTGAAATAGATTGAACTTAAGTAAAGCTTTGAATTACCTGTTTGAGTGTCCTCTCCATGTCAATTCCCTGGCCCCATGGGGCAGCAGGGTTGGCCAGACAATCCCCGGCATTTCCTCTCCTTGAAATATCAATTTTCTGCCTTCTAAGACTTCGGAAAGTTTCGGCCATCACCAGGACTCCATCATAAGTCAGAGCAGATGTGTACTGACAAAAATGAAAGTAATTATAATGGTAAATATTAAAATATTATCACTCACCAGGAACAGTCTGGAGGCACTGTGGGTTTATGACACAAAGCACCATCCTGTCTTTAGCACAGTTAAATGACTGATAATTGCCTCTAGCTTCAGAGATTTCTACTATCGCTAGATTACAAAGACTAGATAGCCAATCTTATGACTCTGATTGAAAAAGGAGAAAACACATACTGGAAAGCAGAAATTCTAATGTACAGCTGTCCAGCAGTTGGAAGAAGCAAGACCTTTGGGCAAGATCTTTTTGTTATGTCCAAGTAGAGACACTGAAGTGTACAAAGTTGCCACCACCTGACTTGTAGCCTGTTGCAGTAGTTGAGCCCCAAGAGGGCTGGGATGTCTCACTCTTCCAAACGCCTGGCTGGGTTGATTGACATTTAATATATGTTTATTGATGTGAAGTGTGTATCTTTGTTCAGCTCCTCAGAAAAATGAGTAGGAATGTTTACTGTTACTCAGATATTAGATGCCAGAAATTGCATCTATTTATTTAACAAATGTGTTTGCACCAGTCACTGTGCTAACTAGAAATGAGCATTGTTAGGTCCGTGCCTGTTGAGTGTGCTCAGAAAGGTTAAGCTATTTCTCTAAATTCCATCCTAACCTAGGATCAAAGTGAAGAAGTGAGGTATAGACTCTGCTTCTTGATAATCTCCTATGGTTCTCTTTGAGAAGACAGAGCCCTCTTGAGAAGGTTAAGGTTAGGAGAGGAAGTGAGAAGAAACCGAGAAAAACCAAACAAAACAGGGAATTCCTGTAGAGTTTGACCAGAGAATTGCTAACCCTGTGGGAAATACGGCATTATTGTTCTGAAGCATGGCAGAGCATCAGCAGCCAATCATGACAAAAAGCTACATTATCTCTTTCAGGAATTCCTCATGGTTAATTCTACATAATTAACACATTTGAGGCTTGAACTGAGGGTAGTTTTGTGCTGTGGAGCATGGAAGATGGTCTCCTCAATTTGCTGCTTGTAAACAAAAAAAAAAAATCATTAGAATTTAGAAGTGTAGAAAGTAAACTTAGGCAATGTGACTAGTAGGCATAGCAGCAGCATTCCAGGAAAGAGAACGAAAATGTAGAAAAGCTAAAGAATATAAATCCTAACAAAGAACCTTTCTGTGGTAGAGAGCCTAAATAAAAACTTCATCAGAAAGGTATGTATGAGACATCACATTGTTCCCGGACATCGCGGACCAGGCTTACGGCCAGGCAGAGGCCCTCACGACCAGGAGGGGTGGCCGAAGGAAGTGCACGTCTTAAAGGAAGGTGATAAATCAAAGGTGACAGGTACCTCCTCGCCTGCCTAGAACAGCACATCGTTGAGTAGAGAAAGCCTTCAAATCATCTTTTGGTTAGGCAAGAAAATAAAAACAAAAGGTAGAGTAAAACTTACTAAAGACTTAAAGGACCAGAGAAAAATTCAATACTAGTATTTTAGGATCAAGAGAGAGGAAAAAAACAAACATTGTTGCTCTTTTAAACAGGGAACGAAAAGCTGAGAGGACATGCACCAAAGACTAAATACACTTGCTCCTGTTTTAAAAAATCCATCCCTTTTTATGAAGCAAGAGAACTACAAGAAAGAACAGATGTCCTACAGAGCAGAGCAGACCAAAGCAGACATTCAGCCACAACGCAAAGGCCTTTGACAGGTCACTGACCTGATAAATTAAAAGAAGCAGTAGTTTAACTCAGGTTTACCTTTTCAAAGGATTTAATTCTTTTCCACGTGTCATATTGTGGTAAAGTTCAAGAACTCATATATATGGGCACACACACTTCTAGATGACATCTAGAAAATTCTTATTAATTAAACACTATATTTCTGAGCAGGGTAAAACTAGGTCTTGGCCTAGAATTATTTACTGTTTTAACCATTGGTTAGAATGCTGATAAGTCTGTTTACGAAGGTTTATAGGTAACATGGTAGTTTGGCAGAGTCATACGGCAGTGGTGAGAGTATGGACTTTGAGGAGAAAGAACTAGATGAATTCTCATTCTGCTATGCAAAATGTGGAGGACATTTTTCAGTTATGAAACACAAAACAGACCAAAAACAACCAACCATCCAACCAACCAAACAAACAAAAAACCAAAAAAAAACCTGTGGTCATATTGAGGATGAAATTTTATATAGTATCTAAAAGCTCTTTGAAAAATGTCTAGTCCAGATGGTGTGGCTCAGTGGTTGAGCGTTGGCCCATGCAGCAAGAGGTTGCTGGTTCAGTTCCCGGTCAGGACACATGCCCAGGTTGTGGGCCTGATCCCCAGAAGGAGGCATGCAGGAGGCAGCCAATTGATGTTCTCTCTCATCGATGTTTCTATCTCTCTCTCCCTCTTACTTCCTCTCTCTCTAAAATCAATAAAGAAAAAAATTTAAAACAAAACAAAACAGGACTTCCGGTCAAGATGGCGGCGTAGGTAAAAGCAGTATCGTGTTCTCCCACAGCCACATCAAAGTTACAACTAAACTACAGAACAACCATCATTCAAAACTGCCTGAAATCAAGCTGAATGGAAGTCCTACAACTACAGAAATAAAAAAAGCAGCTACATCCAGACTGGTAGGAGGGGCGGCGGCGAGACGGGCTGGTCCCACACCCAAGTGTGGCAGATAAAAATCAGGAGGCTCCCGCGGCTGGGAAGGTCCTTCCTGAGGACTGAGGGGTCCCCATCCCACACCAGGTGCCCTGCTCAGGGTTCCAGTGCCAGGAAAAGAAGTACCCATAACTTCTAGCTGCAAAAACCAGCGGAAACTGAGGCTCAGGAAACCTGAAGCAGCTGGAGCCCCAGGCAGCTCCCTAAAGGGCCGGCGCACGGACTTACGGACTCTCTCCCTCTAAGCTCGGAGGGGAGGCAGCTCGAGGGGCGCCAGAGACATACAGGGAAGAACTGAGCTGTTTGGCACTGGAGCGAGGGCTGGAGAGGGGGCTTTCTCGGGGACAAATGTGCTGTCAGAGGCCTTTGTTCCTTTGGTGAGCCCTTCCCAGGGGCGGCAGACAGTCTCCATATCTGGGACTCCAGCAACCTGGCTCACACTGGTAGCCCCGCCCTGCTGACTCCCTGAGGCCCCGCCCCACCCCACACAACTTTCAAGCCCACCCAAGCTGTTGCCACTTGCTTAACCATAGGATTGGCCTGTCTTGGATCCTGCTTCAGGTTTTTCCTAAATTCTTTCAAACGAGCAGCATCGGGTCTCAGTGAGCCCCATACTTCTCATTAAGTAATACACAGAAACAAACACAGGGAGGCAGCCAAAATGAGGAGACAAAGAAACAGGTCCCAAATGAAAGAACAGAACAAAACCCCAATAAAAGAACTAAGTGAAAGGGAGATAAGCAACCTAACAGATGCTGAGTTCAAAATACTGCTTATAAGGATGCTCAATGAACTCAGTGAGGGCCTCAGGAGCATGAAAAAGGACCAGTCAGAAATGATCGATGCACAGTTAGAAACGAAGGAGGCTTTAACTGAAATAAAGAATAATTTACACAGCTTCAATAATAGAGTATGTAAATCCAAGGAGCAAACCATCGATTTGGAATATAAGGAAGCAAAAAACGCCCAGTCAGAACAGCAAAAAGAAAAAAGAATCCAAAAAAATGAGGATAGTGTAAGGAGCCTCTGGGACAACTTCAAGCGTGCCAACATTCGCATCTTGGGGGTACCGGAAGGAGAAGAGAGAGAACAAGAAATCGAAAACCTATTTGAAACAATAATGGCAGAAAACTTCTCTAACTTGGTGAAGGAAACAGACATAAAAGTCCAGGAAGCACAGAGAGTCCCAAACAAGGTGAACCCCAAGAGGCCCACATCAAGACACATCATCATCAAAATGCAAAAGGTTCAAGACAAAGAGAGAATCTTAAAAGCAGCAAGAGAAAGGCAGCTAGTTACCTACAAGGGAGTTCCCATAAGACTGTCAGCTGATTTCTCAAAAGAAACTTTGCAGGCCAGAAGGGAGTGGCAAGAAATATTCAGAGTGATGAAAACCAAGAACCTACAACCAAATTTACTCTATCCTGCAAAGCTGTCATTTAGAATTGATGGACATATAAAAACTTTCCCAGACAAGAAAAAGTTAAAGGAGTTCATCACCACCAAACCGTTATTATATGAAATGATGAAGGGTCTTTTTGAAGAAAAAGATACAATGTATGAACAAACAAAATGACAATGAATACATATCTATCAACAATGAAATCTACAAACAAAATGAACAGGAAGAACAGAAACATTCTCATAGATACAGAGAACATTTTGTTGGTTGCCAGTTGAGAAGGGGGTTGGGGGAATGGGTGAAAAAGGTGAAGGGATTAAGAAGCACAAATTCATTGCTAGACTGACAAACCTCAAAGGGAAAGGGGTTGGGGGGATGGGAAGAAATAAACCAAAGAACTTATATGCATAACCAATGGACACAGACAATAGTGTGGGAAAAGGTGGGAGGGGGGTGGGAGTGGGGAGGAGGGGGTCAATGGGGGAAAAATGTGGAACATCTGTAATACATTTTACATCCAACAATAAAGATTTGAGAGAAAAAAAAAAAAGAAAAGAAAAGGTAAGATGTAAGGGAGTTGTGAAGTCAAAAATCCATTGGGAGGTACGAAATGAAGGCAATTCTCTAAGTCTGGAGGAACATAGTTAGGAGGTAGAAGGGGAAAAGCTGGGCAGCTAGAATTCGACCAGATCATAGTGCATCTGCATGCCAGATGGAGACAAAACTATTCTAAGGGGTCTAAGGAATCAACAGTGATTTCTGAGCAGAGAAACAACAAAGTTTTGAGTGTCATGTTCTGGGAATACTAACCTGACAGAGATGTAGACAGAATGTAGTAACTTTCAAGAGGATACAAAGGGATACTGTTTTTATTAAAAAAGTAATACCCGATTAGTGTAAAATGCACCCCCCCCTCCCGCCCATCAAGTGTAGCCCTTCAGATGCTA